CTTTTTTTTTTCTGATTCTCTGTAACTATCGAAACATTACATCAGAATACAAGAGAAAAACTCCCAGACTGATCTTTTGTCATTTCTTCACATGAAACTCGTATACTACAGCCAAGAGGCTCTCTTTTTCCTCATTAATCAGATCATTATTATCAGAATCCACATTTTAAATACTTGGCTTTTCTTCTGTTTAAATTAATTGTGCCCTTTTCCCCACCCCCGGGGGATATGGAGTTTTTATTATCCTATAACTTCTGACCCTAACTATCCCTATTTCTCTAATTCTATTCCTATTTTTTCACTAATTCCCTTGTGCCTCTCTGCACGAAGGTGTGCCTCTTTTGCACTTATAAACCCTGTGGCTCTTTTCCTGTATATTCTTTTTTAGAGAGAGACCAACATCCCTCAAGGTTCAAAAACGTCGAAAAACCTGACTATTGTTCTATCGCGTCCGATAGAACGCCCGTCACGGCGGTCTGGCCACGCTGCAGTCATGCTGGGCCGAGATCTCTCTGTCTTCTATTTAAAACAATGTGCAGACTTTAGAAATGGTATCTGCTTACCTGTGTTTTGCAGTAGAGAGAGCCCCAAGACCCAACAGACCCAGTCTATCTATCTGAGCTCATCTTGCGTCTTCTTTCTGTATCAAATCACGTCAGGGTCACCAAATGAAGCCAAAATTCCCTTTGGCTGGCGTGTCCACAATTTGGTACAGAAATCAGACGAAGATATCCAAGTTTAACATCTGCATTTAATTATCTTTACAATCAGATACAGAATATTCAACAAAAAGGTGCTCCTAACTAATATGTCCCTCTCCTGGCCCTCGGCTGATTTCTCTCGTCTCTTCCCAAGCCAGAGCATTATGTTCAGGGAGCAGGGGGCGTGTCGTATCAGGGAGGTCCTGTGCCCAGGGTCCGATGACGTCACAGGTCTGAAACTGGTCTCTGGTCTGAGACTGGTCTGGTCTCTGCTTAAGCAAACAATGCCCCCACCCGTGCGGCGCCTGTGTAAACGCAGCTGCTGCGGGAGGGGGCTGCGGGGGATCCATAGGTCAAATTTGCCACACATGTGTTTATTCTGGGAGTCAATAATTGTCTGGCTTTTGTAAGCTGGTCCTCGTTTATGATTCTCGTACTTCTTGTGTCCTTGGGGTTTTTCCTGAGTGCACAGAGGTCTTTTTTTGGCTATGATGTTCAAATGGTCAAATATTGTCACATCTGAATAGTGTAGATTTAAAATATACAACAGAGGAGAGATTATTAATTTGAATAGTCGAATATTTAATCATAATTTGTTTTAAGTTCCTCTCAGCTGCAGTAGAATGCTCTATTTATTTGGATGTAACTTCAAAACGTTCTACCGATCATTATTTCTTGATAACGTACCTCTCAAACCAATAATGACCACTGCCCCCGCTCCGGGGGGAATCGGTTTGTGTGTGATGTGTGTGGTTTACGTGATTTTGCCGTGTGGCTGCGCACCACACACTGTACGACCAAAGTGGTTAGACCTATGATCTTTTAACTCCGTGTGTGAGGTCTCACATGGAGAAAAAATCGGCCAACAATTTTAAAATCGTCTCGTGTGAATCAGGCTTTATCGCGCATGCTCATTTCAAATTTGTCATGGCAACCGGCTGCGACAGGGTTTCCAAGGATTTTCCCAGGAGCTCCCTTCGAAAGTTTGAAAGTTTGCATCCACAATCTTATCACTTTGCTGGCGGTTCAGATAATATGACATTTTTTATTTATTTTGTAACTATTGCCAAAGATGACGGTAAACAGTTAAGTGCCTAAGCACTGGTTTACAGGGCGGCACAGTGGCTGAGTAGAAAGCACTCTCGCTTCTCAGCAAAAAGGTCCTGGGTTCGAATCCCGGTTGGAACAGGGCCTTTCTGAGTGGAATTTGCATGTTCTGTGTCTGCATGTTTCCTCCAGGTGCTCCGGTTTCCCATACCCAAGTGACCTTGCTCTGTAAAATGTGCTATATAAATAAACAGGAAGATGAAACAGGAGCATTTAATGTGGGGAGTAATTTAAACTCAAAATAGTAAGTTATTACAGGGAACGGTAATCTGAACTTAAAATAGTAAGATTTACAGACTTGAAAGTTAGAAATTAGTTGATGCCTTCAACTAAAAAATTCTGTGCAGTCAGTTGCCTTGAAATTTTTAGTTGAACTAACTTTTTCTTTTTTACAGTGAAGAATATCCTTTTATCAAATAGCACCTTACTCCCGTTAGTCTGCTACTAAGCATGCTTTTTCTTAGCCATGAAAGCAGTCACAGATTTCCAGGCCGCTCTGTGTTGACATTTAAAATATTTGTGTTTGAGTTTCTTTCCGCAGCGGTGGAGTGCTGCTTGGGTGTTTGCCTGGTGCAAAGCTGGTTCTATATTTGGGCATGTGTGCCGCCGTCTTCCTCCTCATTGGTCTTAAACGAATGGACCCTTGACGTATTGAAGGCCACTGCTGCTCCCGCTGCTGGAGCGTTTAGATAAATGGATTGAACACTTTCCCTCCCGTGGTGACTTCCTGGGTGTAAAAGGAGAAAGATACCCCTGTGGGTAATTCGATTCGTTCGAGGAGCTGCACTGACTTAAAGAAGCTATACCCAATTTATTTTCAAATGAGTTCATAAAAATGCGTTTTACTACATACAAGTTGTATTAAAATCCGTAATTTAATTGAAAACTTGAGCTCATTGAGTCAGCTTGTGTATGAATTTAGGCCGTAAAAGTGCTGATTAGAGACTTAGCGGGACGCTCGTTCTCTTCCACTCACATACGTAGCGTTACCGTTAGCTTACATAGTATCCTCTGGAGAGACCTGCGGGACCGCCTCGGACTATCTCTGCTCGGACATTTGGACGCAAAACTAGCGGTAATCTTTCAGTGTTATATTTTTTTAGCAGCGCGTTGCTTTTGTACCATTTCATCAGTGGTTGTTGTACAGCTTACAAGAAGTTGCGCTAATGCTAATGTTAGCATGCGTATCAGATCGCAAATAAAACTAGATGGCTCCGTGGGATGAGAGTGTAGGGGAAATGAGAAGCCTGTGAGCGAGTTGGGGGGCGGTGCTAAACATTCAAACTGAAAAAAACCCTAGGAGAAACAGGTATAGCTCCTTTAAAAGGGGCGCCGGAGAGTTCCAAGAAGAAATTAGTTATTCATAAAACAGTTACTATTATAGATGATTTTTCAATTTACTACAGAAAGTAATTAATTGAGAGCAAATGAGAGTTCCCTAATTGGATGCTCTGTAGCTGTCTATAGAGGGCATTTTCTTGTTCATTTTGTCTGCAAGATAAAACATTGATACCATGAGCATGTTACTAAGTTACAGCAGACAAACCGTAAATGTCAAGATTGATGCAGAAGGTGGGAATGATACGAACACATACACTGGAGGAGAGACTGGTAATTATTTTAGTCTTTTCTCCTGATTACACATAAAGCCCTAACACCCACGCTTGAACAGAGCACTCCACTGCTTTACCACACACATTTTGATTTGATCGGTTTCTCATTAAAATAACCTTGTCAATGGGGGTTTTAGTTGTGATTAAGGGCAGGCCCATTTTATTTTTTGGAGTTTTTGTGATTCTGGTTCAATTACCAATTTCTCGTAAGACTTCAAAATGAGCAGATGAAACTGATAAACGTGTCCGTCCCTGGATATAATATTAAAGGTTAAACGATATAATTTGAAGATATTATCTATATTGGCAGAGCTTACTGGCCATTGTTTTTATGGTATTCTGGACAAGCAGTACAGCCCAGGAAAAAAACAACAACACATCTCTCTTACTGACAGTGAGATTGGGGCCCATCTGAAAACGTTTATGACACAAAAAGACAAAGGCATTAGATGAAATAACCATGAGCTTGAAGTTGTGATCGCCTATACACCTTTATATTCAATAGAGAATCTAAATTTCTATCCTGTCCATCCATAGGAGTTGACACTGGTTTTCCCCAAGATTTTTTTATTTTTCCCACTGGGCTGGAGTTTTTCCTTGCCATATATAAAGAGGGTCTGAGGACAGTGAGAACTTCCTGTGACAATGATTATCTTTTTGGTCTGTCAAGTGTTGGTTTTCTAATCTGCAAAAAAAAAAACTATGTTTGTTGTGATGACAGCTGTTTGTGTGTCTGTTAATTCGGGCCGTACAAAAATGAGGGGTTTGTAGGGGTTGCCATGAACACAAGTCCTGTTGTTGTTATTGTAGAAATTGATTATTTGCACGGTTTCTGAGGCGCCATCACTGGAATATTCCAAGATTTTTGCCCTTTCCAATTTATATTCTGCTTGTTTTTTTTTATGCATTTCTGTTGGAGGAGCCCTGAAACTAATTAACTTCAGCCTTGTTTCTGTACTATAAACTTCTCCTAAATCACAGCTTTCTGGTGTTCACTAAAGCTATAATTGTCAGACTGGTGAGACAGGTAATGGGTATCATGCACGGGTCAGTGTAATAGTGTCTGGAAACGGGATCAACATGAGTTGATTAGTTGTTGGTGCTAAACCATTGTGTGCATGACTCAGAGGCCTCTTGGGCAGCATAGCTTGGTGCTCTTTAAAGCTGCTATAGTAGCGAAGAGAAGTTTTAACATCCCCATTGGAGTTCTGCTATTTTGTTTGAAAAAAAAATTGAAGATCCTTTTACTGTTTGTCTGAAGTAATTAAAATAATAATAAACTGAATGGTAATGAGAAAATATATTGACTTGTGTATTCTCTGTGAACTGTGATCAGATGGGGATTAGCATTAGATGAAAGTGTAATGCCATCTGCTCATGATAGCCATTACCCAAGAGGTGTTGTCAGTTATTATCATTTGACTTTTCCCTTGTATGGAAATTAGCGCAGCAGGCCAAATATGCAGCATAATAAAAAGCTTGTCCATCTAAATCTCTTCAGGAAATTGGGAGACTTAGCTCATTTCTTGCCCTTGCCCTTCTCATATCCTGAACATATTTGCTTTGTTGTTCTCCACAGCTTTGGTGGTGAGATTTCTGACCAGGCGCTTCATCTGGGAGTACGACCCCACCCTTGGTAAGGCAAACGTGTTTTCTGTTTGTTTTACTTCCCATATGGGTTACATTGTAGAGCTGGACAATATTCGATAAAGTGCTATATGCGATAGTGGTGTCAAGAACGGGCAATAACTATTACATAATAAATATAGCAATAATAATAACTAATATTTATTGCAATATTTTATTTTATACTACATTGTAAAAATCAAAAATTGAATGAACTTAGCAGTGAAGGCTAAACTACATTAAGAGCAGGTGTAAATAAGTTCATACATGCTATGTTGGCTTCCTTATATATCATAAACGTAAACTGTTATGGAACAGCAGTATTTTTAGGAACATGTTTTTCTTGCTCTCATTTTCTCAGCTCTCGAAAAATGCTGGAAAACCTAGTGAAATGCCGCTCGATATGTCCTTCCCAAACGTTGGCGTGATGGATGCCAAAAAAAGTCATGTCGATTCGCAAATTGAGAATGCTCAGATCAACCCAAATATGGCGCTATATTCTTTTTGGCTCAAGCTAGCATCAAATATGCATAGAATATGCTAGCTTGAGTCAATTTCCTTGTATTGGAGCATGGGCAGACATGTTGCTTACACTTGCTGCTAAGGCAAGCTGGAGTGGCATCTGATTGGTCAATCCTTATAAAACTCATAATTCCATCCATCCATTTTCTTCCCCTTAATCCATTTCTGGGCCGGCGGGATGGCAGTCAGAGCTGCACCCAAATCACTGAGCACTGTTGTAGAATTACATACCCCAAAACAAGGAGAAAGCCCAAAAGTATTTGTCTTAGATCAGGAGCGTAAGTTTATTATACACACGTGCGGAGAGCCAGCACATACACACAAAAGCAGCATGTACCAGCTCTGGGCGCAGAGCCCCGAGTTTCCTGTATACAAGACACACACGAAAGCCAGTCCCGCCCACCACAGATGGGAGAGGGCCACCGGTGCAGGAGGCGCATAGGGATGCAAACAGACTGCAGGATGTAGAAAGTGCACACATACAGACCGATACATATGCAAGAGGTGAAAGGGGGCAAGAGTGATCGCCATTGTCTGTAGGTGTCGGGGGGGACCCGGCTCCTTCCTGGAGCAGGGACATATGAATAGAAGCAGGAAAGACACAAGGGTGTGACAGACAGCAGGGGCCCTCACAAAGCTCAGCATGACGTCAGAAGGTCGTCTCTGCATTGATAAAAGGCCTTTGACGTCCGTGTATTTGCTGCGGCTGGTTTTATGTAATTACTCCAAAAACTGTCACCACAGCACCACTGATCCTTCTGCAGGTGGTGAGTCCACAGGAGGATGGCTGCTCTGTCAGTGACGATACAGCCTTGATTATTCAGCAGGGCTTCAGGCAATGTGGGGTGTGTCTTGCCCAAGGACACAACGACAGGAGACATCCGTGGGGGTTGGTGGAGAAAGTACTGTGGTGAGCTCAAACCATGGATCTATTATGTTGTCTGAATACGGTAGTACTATCTTGGAGCTGAAGGACCCATGTGCTTCTCGCGGTACTGCAGATGAAACGAGACTAAATTCACGTGGGCTACCCAGAAATTTTCCCCATAGAACTCAATGTAAACTAAAACAGCTCGACCTCAGCTGACAGAGAACCTACAGCTTTCATAAAGATCAGATTTTGTGGGGATTTTAGTGTCCTTTGTCATCCTGAACTTTTTTTCTTCTTAAATCCTTTGGTTTTCTTTAAATCCACACTTTACTGCCACAAACTCTACTCGTTTGGCAGCCTCTCTAACTCCAGTTCTGATTGGTTAGATTGCGGCCAAACCCCTCTGTGCACGTGCATGATAGCCACACACGCGTATTTGGCGCAATTTATCATGGAAGCTCGACCACTGCGCAGAACCGGGAGGACCAGACGAGTTCCGCTAATCATTCGGTGCCCGTGCCGGCACATGCGCCACTGAGCACAAACCATTCATTTAAATACGCCGCCATCTTGGATCACCGGGGTTTGGCTCAAACCCACAACCTTCAGCCTCAAAGACCAGTGCTCTACCAACTGAGCTACTGTCGCCTACTGGATCTCACTTGCACTTGTAATTCGTTCATGTTTGGTCTGAGATATTTATCACTGTTTTGCTTGTTTTTGCACAATACAATTTAATAAATAATAACTATTTGTTTCTAATTCCAACAAGAACTGTGTTTTTAATCACAGCATCAAGGTTAAAACTAGTTATGAAACAATGAGTCTATAGAACTGTCACATAAACTAACCTCTAGAATACAGATTTAATGAGATTCGCATCAATCTTAAACATCTTAGTTCGCCATTGTTTATGTTCTGAAGAGGAGAAAGTAGCTAGCAGGACTTTAAAATGGGATCCCGTTTGTATCCCAGACAATTCCTGCGAGACCGCCATCATGTGGTTGTGGTGTGGGATTACAACATTTCTTCAAAACTGTGCAGGGAGTACGCTTGAGTATACGAACAACTGTGATTGTGCAATCAACCGCGGGTCCAGAACAAACGCCAACACACATAGTGGCGCTGAGTTTACATAGTTTACAAATCAGAACATAAAAACTCACGCCCTGTTGATAAACGCATTTTGGCGATTTTGTTGTGGATTCAGTGTGTTTCGCATATTCTGTGCTTTTCGCCTGGATACGTTTTAAAACTTTTTCCCGCATTAATGCTAAGAAAATCAGCCAGATGAATTTTGAATAACCGCATTGTACCTTTGGCCACGTTCCCAATACTGTCCGTGAGAAGCAAGCTGCACATTGTGTGAGTCACGTCAGGGGGCTAGTGTTGTGTCCATGCTTTTATTGTCTGACATTAAATCCATCCATGACAATAAATGGGTTAGAGTTTGCTACTCTACAAGATGTGGTTTTAACTGTACAGTTAGTATGGCTGTAGGGTCATCTGATAAATGTGACGCCGTACAGACAAACAGGCACAAAATCACTTTTGTCTAAAAGACTGAATTTCGCAACTTAATTTTGATTGACATACCTTGCTGATCTTCGTAGGAGAAATTCCGATATCAGCAAAAACACATCCATCAACACACACACACAAAATGGATAATTCTTAAAAAGCTAGCAACAGTGATAATAAGCATCAGCACTTTAGGTCACAGCAGCAGAGATGGTGTAGCCGCTTGGTTTGGACCATTTTCTCTGCTCTGGTCCAAAGTAAAATGCTGAATGCTTCATTGCCATTTTTCAAAAAGTTAGCACTCCTGTGGATTTTCACCTGTTCCCTTTTTTTCGAACCATGAATCCTCTCTAAACCATGAACACTGTACTGCAGCAACATCTCAGGTGGAAAAAAACAACTACTGTTTCAGAGCTACGTAGGACTTGCTGACGTTTCCAGCACATAAAAAAAAAAAAATGTATATATATTTAATACATACATAAAAAGCAAAACTTTTCTTATGCATTCTTGTTTGGTTCATGTTATTTAAGAAATGGCATGTTCTTAAATACTGTATTTGGTTTAATGCTTTTAGTACATAGGAATTACATGTTATCACACTGTTATTTCCTGTCTGTGTTTGTTGTGCCACTTCCCTTTGTGCCTTCAGCCAAAACAAGCTCTTGGCCATGAGGTCCCGGTGAATTATGAATGCCTTTTTGTGTTCATAGATGAAGGTTTTTGTGGGAGGAGATATAATAAATCACAAAATGCATTAAGGAGACACATGAGAGGGGATGCTGGTAGAGAAAAATAAGATTTGGGTTTTTTCTCTTCAGTTTTTAAATTAAATAATAAAAAAAAAGGTTTGTTGTAATATATATATATATATATTTGACAAACAATTTGTCAAACTTCAGCCTAAGCCCTTTCTGTTTAGTAATTAATGTGGAATTGCTTGTTTGTTGTTTTTTTTTTAAATAAATAAAGAAAGAATAATTTTTATGCAGCAGTACAGTAGATATAGGGTCAAGTGAGTCAAATAAAATTGTTAGATGTGCGATAACAAATGTAAAAAAATAAAAAATAAATATAGTTGTAATGTATTCATAAGTAGATATAATTATTTGAGTACAGTTTAAACAACTATGTTTGCTGCTGGCTACCTGCTTGTCGCCATGGAGATGCTCTTGTTTTGTTCAGAAGGGTCTTCGGTATATGGTATAAAACATTATTTAATTACAAATGTTTTACTGCTCCAAAAACAGTCGGATCGCCTCTCCCGTCACATATGAATGATTCCAATTCCAAATAACATTTGTTGAATACATAAAAGTGTGGGACCCTTTATCAGACAAGTAGTGCTGCTTGTTGCCATAAGGATGTTCTTGCTCTATTTGGAATTTCCCTCAGTCTAGGAGTAATCTTGTGGGATATTTCCTGCATGTGTAGGGACACTTTTGTATCGTTATTAGTGTATTCTTTATAAGCCATAAGTTATTTTTGAATTTGTGATAGATGGAGTTACTCATCAGACTCCAGACTTCAACAAACAGATGCTCAGAGACTCAGAGACACAAGCAATATATTTTAATGCCTAATAATAACTAATCTTACCTGAAATTATGACAAATATTTATTATAGAATACTTTGTTTGGATAGATATGAAACCCATAATCAAATAGTTTTCTAGGTCAATTTCTTCAATTGTCTTTTTCTTTTTTGTCTGAACTAAGGTGAAAAATAATGAGATCATCTGTAAGTACTTTATTAGATGTCTTTATTGTGAGTGTGAGTGAAAACGTTGCCATGAATACTCACACAACGCAGATGGAGCTATACAGAGACGCCTTTTCTCTATTACAGATCAAGTATGCAGGAGACACATTAAAGAAGACATATCATGCACTGTTTCATAATTTCATGCTTTAGAATGTGGCTATTGTAGGAGTTGAATTGGTTTTGTTTTTGTTACGCAGTCGGATAGCCTGAAACTCATAGAATATTCGCTGGACTTTCTGGTCTGGACCCCAGGAAAAGTCGTAACTTTATTTTTTTAAACTAATTGAGATCCTTTATAATGAAATGAATTAGTCTGCTGATTACAATAGGT